GGTTGTCTTCTTGTTCTCTTTCCAAGTTTCCGGCTTTTAGTTTGTGCTGGAACCTTACTTATGAGATCTCAAAAACTTGAGTAAAACCTTACATTCAGCAGAGAAATGGCTCCTTCATAGTCTTGATTTGCAAGAAAATCATCCAATTCTGGCATTTTCGGAACTTTGCGTAGGGCTGGCCCAGAATTGTTCTTCTTTCGGTTTCGAAACAAGTTCATCTGAAAATTCAAAATTCAGTGAATCGTTCAAATGGAAATAATATAACTCACCATCACGAGTGGGCGTATAAAACAAGTGTGAAGGGAGATGAGAGGGGGGGGGGGAGAAGCTCACAATTGTTAGGTGGTTGGACAAGTTGCTATGGAGATTTGAATGCAACAAATTGGAGAGAAGACAGAGAAAAAGCGACAAGTGGTGGAAGGAGCATTTAGAATAGGAGAAATATACAAATTAGAATTGGTGAAGGAGAAGAATGGGAGATTAAGGGGGCGAGTGTTTGGATGGAGCTTCATGTGTTGAATGTACCTTGAACAGGAAACAAGCATGGAAAGCATTAATTAAGGAGAAATCACTCAACATTTAAACTCAATTTCTAGTAAAATGGTGTTTGAGCAGTTTCATCACGGCAACTTGAAACCAGTGAAAATAAGGCCGATATAATTTTTCATTGAACCAAATCTCGCGTACACAAGTAAAGGACAACTGCCGAAAACTGGTACATACAGCTGAAGGATTGCAGCCAAAGGAGAACTGACGGGTCGTTAACGAACTGTCGGCGGACCATCGACGGATATTCGGGGAAGGAATAATTTGGAAGGACTCTGCACACAGGCCCATACTCCCAGGGGGCATCGAAATAGGGGGCATCGTGCTCAAAGGGGGCATACACTCATAGGGGTCACTAACTCATAGGGGGCATCCTGAAGTTGTGTCTTAGGGGGCATCCCACCATGTCTCATAGGGGGCATAGGACCAAATGCTCCCAGGGGGCATTGATAGTCTCATAGGGGTCATTGAGATCAATTTGAGTATATGATTCTGAATATGATGAATTTTTATTTTTACATCTTTGTCGTAGTTTTTTGAGGAAAAAAACACAATTGCAGACTATCGAAGGTGTTATTTCGGAGGGTCAACTGGGTAGAATTTCGGCCAAAAATTCGGGGGTACAATGATTCGGGGTACAACTCAATTCATTCAGGGGTACAACGCTTGTGATTCGGGAGTACAGCTTTTTTTTGAGGGAGTATCTGAATTCCTGAATTTCAGAGCTTGAAAATCTCAGAATTCTTAGAATTTCAAAACTTTGAAATTTCAGTATTTCGGGATCTGAGAATTTCGGAACTTCAGAGTCTGAGAATTTCAGAATGTTAGAATTTCAGAACTTCGAAATCGCAGAACTTCAGAATCTCAATATTTTTGAATTTTTAAAAATTACGACAGAACATTTTCACTTCTCATTGACACATTGTTCTTTTTGATTTTGTGTCATATTTTTCACTCATCATGAAAAAAATTGTGGAAATTGTGCTGTGCTGAAAGGCATTAGTTTTTTTTTGAATTTTTGAGTCTCGAAACTTCAGGAAAGCATAAAACGGAGAACTGTGTAACAATCTTGACAAGTTTTACAAACTCAGGACTAGGGTTTCCATTTGGGCAGGTGAAGAAGCGGGCTACCCGCTACCCACCCGGGGGGCTCTCACCCGCGGCCCCCCGCAATTAGATGCGTGTGAATTTTAATAAAATTTTAAAGGATAATCACGTCTCAGGTAAACGATTCTGAATTAGATCTGACTTCATTCGGAATTAGATCTGGGTTCGTTCGTAAATAGAAGTGGCATGATCTAATACAGAATTTAGCTGATCTAATTCCGAACGAACACCGAATGAACTACGAACGAATTAGATCTAATTCCGAACAGACCAGCGGGATTTCGGAGCATCGTAACGAGCGCTTTTCAAATTTTGTTTTCTTTTCAACGCCATTCACTTTATTTATAATAACATTTATTAAAAAAGAAAACAGAACAAGTATGAGAAAAAGAAACACATTGATTAAAATGTAGATATAGGAAATCGGAACGAAAATGAGGGGTGTGATACAAATGAATGAATGGGATCAGCAAAAAAGAAAACGATGAGATCAGCGAGAATAATGGGACCTATGAGATAAGAAAAAGTGACAACATTTATGAAAAAAATCTCAATTCGAATTCTTCCGCTCGTCCATATTTTCGATTTTGAAAATTCTCTTGTCATAGTTTCCGGTTGTAGATAAGATGGATATTCTTTATGAAATGAATGTTGATTTAACTGAAAAAAGAAGTTTTTGGCTTTGTGATGTTGATAATAAACTTACTTGAGCCATTTCAATATAATTTCGTACTCAAATCTTTGCAAATCCAAATAAATTCATCAGAGCAGTTGTTTTATACAACAAATCCCAAATTTTTGAATCGTTTTAATCGGGTCATGACACATTCGGTTGAGAGCCTGCAATTTCACGCATGTTTCTTTGTCCACCAGACTTTCGAAAACTAACCTGCTCATGACAAGACACGGCTTCCGAAAGTAAGGCCTTCTCGACTTGTGTAAATTGAGCTCACTATCAGAGAAATTTATCATCTCTTTTTTTCTTGTTTTTTCGGTGATCCCTTGCATCGTTATTCGTATTTTTGTCGGTTCATAGAATTACTGTCTTCTATAGAAGTCGTATATATAAATTGAACTTTGAATATTCAGCTGTCCCTAAAAAAATTCACCTAAAATTTTGCAAAAACGTGCACATTACACATTAAAATGTGTTCCAGAAAATATAGTTTAAATAATTGAGCGAAAAAAAAGGCAAAAGTTGAGAGAAATACCCATTTTCCTGACGAAAAAAATTTAGGACAACAAAAAAAAACAAAACAATTCATCCGCGGCCGCTGAGTCATTGATGGCGCATTTCTCGTGGCAACTTCGGTATTAGATCTAGTCCAGATCTAATTCCGAATGAACTCAGATCTAATTCCGAATTTCGAGTTATTCGATCTAATTCCGAATCATTTACCTGAGGTATTTTCCAAGAAAAACTGAGTTTCTCTAATCAAAAAACAACAAAAAATATAATATTTTCCTCACGTAAATATTCGCGGGCGGGTAAATCGCCCCCCAAATGGAAACCCTACTCAGGACTTTTAAAATGGAAACCCTACTCAGGACTCTTAATTTATGTTTTAAAACTCAGTCGATACTTTCCTCTACCAATTTTTCTCAATTGCTTTTCTTCTCAATTCTATTTCATTTTCTTCTGTTTCACAATATTCCCTCGGTTTTTCCCAATTTTCCCTTTTTTTCTCAATTTTTCGTTTTTTCCCAATTTTCCTCAATTTTTCTCAATTTTCGTGGTAATTGAATTTTTTCTCATTTTTTTTCATAATTTTATAGATCATTGAATGAAGGAAACAATCACAATTTAGTGATTTAAATACACACAAAAATTAAAAAATCCTAAAAATTGGCCCAAAATGAGCTATTTTCTATCGAAAATTGTTCGCACAAGCAATAAAACATCGCAAAAATTAAAAAGTTAATTTTTTTCGATTAATTACCACGAAAATTTGAGCGAAAACGATGGAAAACGAAGGAAAACGGAAATCATTAATTCATTTAATATTATAATTCAGAACAGTATCAATTATAATTATTCCAGTGGTCGTCCTTTGCTCGCTCCTTGCTTGTCGTTGCTTGTACTCCAGCGACGTCCTCCGTGCCTTAACGATGTGCGGTAGAGACGTGGGTCTTCCTCACGTCATCAATCGAAGACCACCGGGGGATTTGAATCCGTCCCTTCCATTCCCCTGGTGGTCCCACAACCGCACATGTTATCCTCTCGGCTACGTGGAAGCTGACAGGTTAAGACGTAGAAGAAGTATAAGAAAATATGGTCATCTGGAGATGAAGGAGGCCCGGTAGACCGGATGACGTCGAGAATAAAGAGACTGTAAACCAATAATGGTTTATCCACATAAGGATACCATACCAGTAGTCTTCTAGAATCCGGTATTTACAGTATACTTTTTTCAATTTTGAAAACAAGAAAAATTGATATATTTCAACTATTTATTCTTCAACTCATTCACAATGTCATGAATCTCCCGTCCCTTTGTTTCTGGCAAATACCTAAACAAAATAAGCATACTTATAAATGAAGGAATCGAATACAGTATCACAAATGCATAACTTCCAATTACAGAATACAGTGGGAGTACGGTAAATGTGCTAATAACGACCATTAGGGTATTAATGGCGTATGCAACCGATTGAGCGATACTTCGATGTTTTTGAGGCACCAGTTCAGAAGAAATGAACCAAGAAATTGGGCCAACACCGGTTCTGAAAATTTAGTTCATAGGATTTCAAAAGATGATCGATTCAGACATACCCATAAGTGTATCCATAGATTATGAGTGCTCCTAGACACCCATATTTCATTGGGTCAATCAAAATCCGAATTTTCGCAAAAAACAGAAACGCGAGTAGAGCCAAATTGTTAAGAAAAGTGAATAGGAGAAGAAGTGTCCGACGACCGACTCTAAATATTTTTAAGTAAAATCCGAAAGTTCAAATCCCCACCCACTTCTCAATTATAATTCCTCCAGTGACCGTTCCGGACACATATGCTAAACTCATCGCGGTTGTACTCCACTCGGCTACTTCTGATTCCACGTTGGCATTTTCTAGGAAAAACGTGGATGATAGAAGTAACGCCCACAATCCGACGGTATTCGTAAGTTTTTAATTAATTTTTTTCGATTAATTACCACAAAAATTTGAGCAAAAACGATGGAAAACGAAGGAAAACGGAGAAAAATCCAAAATAAAATTTTTCAGCGATGACGTCATCAATCCATGGCCGTGGCCGAGGTGGGGAGTTTTCTCTTCCATGGGAAAATTTCGAAAAATTCACAGCTTTTCGCAAATCCAATTTTTCTCCGTTTTCCTTCGTTTTCCATCGTTTTTGCTCGAATTTTCGTGGTAATTAATCGAAAAAAATGACTTTTATAATTTTTGTAACGTTTTATTGCCTGCTCGAACAATTTTCAAAAGAAAATAGCTCATTTTGGGCCAATTTTTGGGATTTTTGAATTTTTGTGTGTAAATCACCAAATTGTGATTGTTTTCTTCATTTGGTCCTATGCCCCCTATGAGACATGGTGGGATGCCCCCTATGAGTTAGCGACCCCTATGAGTGTATGCCCCCTTTGAGCACGATGCCCCCTGGGAGTATGGGCCGTGCACACATAAGAGTTTGAATTAACAAATTCGAAGACAAAATTGAATGAGACAAAAGAGGGAACAACTCACTGGATCCCGGTTTTTGGAACATAAATCGGAGGGTACAAAAATTCGGCAGTACAAGGGGGTGCGTATTTTTGAAGGCATTTTGTAGCCCGGAACAGCTTTGTACCACGAAGACTAAAAACATTGTACCCTCCACATTATTCGCCGAGTTTTTTTGAAATAATTTTTTTTCGCGCTTTTTCTGATAGAGTACAGGCTCAGTAGCTACCCTTTCAGCCTTCAATTCGAGACCAACGATTTTTTACTACGGTATATGAATATTAGCGTCCGAGCGCATTTATACGACGTCCTGAAAAAACAGTAAATGGAAAAAACCGTGCCGAAGAAAAATGAATTATATTTTAAAAACCGTGTAAACAGAAGTTTGAGGTGCTTGCCGTATTTCCTCTAATCCACTTAAACTATCAACTTTGAGCCTAATTATCTCCATTCCTGTAAACGATATCAAAATGTTGTCAACTGATAAAATACTTTTGAAACTATGATAAATATTTTGTTAGTTGATTACTTTCTGATATCTTTTGTAGGAATTGAGATGTCTGAACTTAAAGTTGACAGTCCCGGTGAGCTTATGAATATTAGAGAAAATAGGTAAATAACGTTTTATCATTCAACATGCTTAAAATTACCAATACGTTTTGATTAAGTTTCAGAAAATATTTGGACTACTATAGTAGAACCACAAAAGCTTATTTATACAATAATTTTACAAAATAATGTAGTACAAATTAAAAATTAAATTTAGTACGAAATTTTTAGTGTTACAAAAAATCTAAATAAAAATGATCGGATCAAGGAGTTGATCCTTTTCGGAGTCATTCTCATGAAACAGTCCAGAAACTGAATACTTTTCGTTGAAGACACCAATTTGATCGAAACCAAACCATCCGGCGAATGGATTTGAAGGTTTTGTGGTTTTCGGAAGGAACCCTTTGGATTCTCCAAACTTTTGAAGGTTCTGTGTGTAGGTGCTATGCCAGTATCTGAAATAGTTGTATTCTCATAAAAGTTAGATTTCTTAATTCCAAGTACCTCTCAAAAACTGCCTTGACTTGTCTGTTAATATCACCATGGAAGGGTTCTTCGTCTACAACAACAGCTGTTCCAGTCGATTTATAAAAGTATTCTGGTGCATAATTCGATGATCCAATAATGGTTCTTTTCTCAGAAAGTATGAATTTCGCATGCATTTTACGATCCTTGTATGATTCTTGTGCAGTTTGAGGGATTAGAACGAACTTCTGCAAATAGAATAAATTGGAATCGAAAAATTTAAAACGCTTACTATTTGAATGAACCGATTTTCCGATGGGGAGTGCAAAACTGAAAGACTACGAAGATAGGCGAACATCAACTTTTGTTCTTCTTTCTGGTCCCCAGATACAAGGATTCGGAATTTGATTCCACGAGAAATACTCATTCGGATAGCATTGTCGATTTGGAAGTAGAATCTGAAAGAAAATATTATATTGAAAATCTTTCAAACGGCATATACTGTATCGGTCAATAAGATGTACAAACACATAGTTGGTTTTTGGGCATTTTAACAATTTTTAGGAGTCTCGAGCTCGGCTGTCATGTTTTCGATCATTTCGAAAATTTTGGAGGGTGTAAAATAGACTTTATATTTTTTTCAAATTTCCAGTACAAAAACAGGAAAAAATGAGGTGTCCTTCAGAGATCGGAAAATAGCTGAAAAACTAGGAATTTTAAACAAAAACTGTGAATGCAAACATTTCAGTCTAGGTCTGTTTTTCACCTTCCAAATTTTCAAAGCGATCGGGAACTTGACAGCGGAGCTGCACCCTCCTGAAAATGGTCATTATGTTACGAAATCATCGGAAAAATACGTTCTTTTTTAAATATCTTACTGTACGGTACTGTATCTCTCAGAAGGAGAATAACTAACTCTCGGTTTTTGAAATAAATCCATGATGGGAAATACTGCATAACAGAAATATCAACAGATTCATCAGCTTCGTAGATCAAATTCAAGAGAGCTTCCAGGTCCCAACTGTGGGATGAAGAGAGGAGGAAGGATGGTGACGCCTGAAAAACGATACGAGTATTTGAATAAAGACGATACTAACCAAAAATTGGAATGTTGAATTCCCAATTTTGTGTGGCTGGAAATCCAGGGTTTCCAATTTCTCATTCCCGGAAAGCGAATCGAACATTTGATCGAAAAGACTAGACGCGTCTTTGGCAATGCACGGACAATCGTGAAATTCGAGACCAATTTCCAGTTTCTGAAACAGGTAAACTCTAATTATAAGAATTTGGGGTCATGAAATCATGCTGAACCTGTGAAAAAGACTTCCACTCGAAATTCAAACTTCCAACAAACAAGTGTCTATCATCCACAATAAATGTTTTACTGTGCTGTACACCACCTCCACCTCCATTCATCGTATTCATATCCAATCCTTGTCTTTGAACTAATCCAAGTCTTTCCAATTCATCTGCATCATAATCATTCTCTGGGAAAGTTGGTGGTTGACAATCGATCAATTTGATCAGGATTCCAGACTTTGCTTGATCTTCAATCATACTGTAGATCTGACGTCCTTCGAATGTTGAATTATCGACGTCATAACGGAGCTCTTTTCCTCGTAGATTCATCTTGTAGGCGAAGATGTCAATCTCGCTGAAAACCCGGGAATTCGAAAAACGGAAAGAAAGGAAAAACCAACCTTTTTGCAGATCCAAGTAGTTCCATCCATGACTCATATGAGTTTTTTGTATAAACTCGATCGACAAACCATACTCCACGAGGAATTGATTCAACAACAGAAACACTGAAAATCTTGTTTGTAAACAATACAATTATATATACAACCGGTTTATTTTTTGAAATACTGTTATCATTGAAATCATTCGTTGACCAAATTGTCAAAATAACTAGAGACAGCATGAATCGTATCTTCGATCCACTCGACGAACCTGCATGTTTTACCACATTCCACACCGGTCGGAGGGATAAAAGTTGTATCAGGGATTACTGTAGTTTCAGATATTGGAGATGAAGATGAAGATAAAGCCATGGAGGACGATGACTGGGTTGATGTTGAAGAGACTGAAAATACAATTTCTAAGAACTTTTTGTCGTCTAAAATTTCCTACCGTAGTCAGTGGTCGTTTCAACCGTGGTCTCTTGAATCGTGGAAGTTGGGATTACTGTAGTTGTGACTGTAACTTGAACTAATGTACTGTTCTCTCCATCTTTATGATCTTCGTCCGAATTGCTCGACGACGAATCACTTTCAGAAGTGGAGGTACTGTAATCAGTACTTGTTATCAGTGGAGATTCAGTACTAGATGAGTAAGGACTTGTCGCCGGAACAATTGAACTGCTGTCTATTCCAGAGGAATGTGTAGTTTTAGAAATAGCAGAGTCTTTAGAATCATCAGGGGAATCAGGTAGTCGATGAACGATATTAATAACAACGACAATGACGACAAGAGCAACGACGATTGCTGAAACCAAATAGATAGGAAGCTTCGTACGAGTTTTTGGCGGTTTTGAGACGATAGTCGGCAATTCAGAAGACTCCGACATGTTTATGGAAGAGAGAAATGGAATAGAAGTGGGCGGTAGAATGGACATATACTCGCCTGATTTGCATGAGCCGATTTACTGATGATTCAACTGTCAGAAGAGAAAAACGTTGTTATTGATTTTCAGATTTTGAATGATGGGCAACAGGAATGACGTCGTTGTAAAGGGTCAGTAGAGAAAACATTAAAGGTACCACAACGAAGAAATTAGCAGAAATTTTGTGTCACCGAATCAAAAATAAACACCGTAATCAAGGTCACGATATACTTGCAATGTAAGGTCCATTATCTCAATTTCTATAAGAGATATAGAAAATCTGTCAATTTTTCTTTGTCACATAATAATAATTTATTGATCAGAAGAAAATATGGCACAAAAGTTATAACGGGAGTTCTAGATAAAATCCCTAACGAGATGAACCTAGAGAATGGGGAAGAAAATGGTAAACATGTAAGGTTGGCAAGATATTAAAAAAAGGTAAAAGGTGAGCAGAAAACTAAAACCGATTGATGAAATGTTTTTCATAAAATCAAACATCTTTTTTCAACAGAATATTTGATATCTCTTATAGAAATTAAAATAATTGAGCTCAAAGTGCAAGTATTGGATGCATTTCTACTAGAGTGTTTGAGATAATCGAAGCTATCGTGTTTCAGGGGTTATCCCAATTGTTAGATTTCCTCAGAGATCTTCAAGGATCCCAAAAACCATACTTGTCGAATTCAGGACCTGGCTGGGCCGGACACGGTCAGAGACGAGTCGAAAAAATTCTTTCGGTCAGCTCGGGTAACTAATTTTTGAAATTCTTGAAAAAAAGTTATGGAATTTCACCTCAAAGAAAAGTTCCTGAAATATTCCGTCTTGACATTAAAGGAGGCGAGACGGCAAAAATTTTGGGGGACAGTTTGGGGGACGAAATCGCGGCGCGGTTATGTAGGCCATCGGTCGGCAGGCGCCTTCGCGCCCCCGTAGGTCAGCCGGTAGCGGCGCTGTACCCCTGAGCTGCCTGTCATGAGTTCAACTCCTCATTGGGGTTTTCTAGGCGAAATATCAAGAAAACTTTTTTTGATGTCTAGCCCCCTTTAAGATCTAAACATTGAAATTTGTCGAAACTTCATGAAAACTTTGAAAATTCAGGATCTGGCTTGGCCCGGCCCTCGTTTATTATTCAAAAAACTGGAAAAAAGCCTATTTGTGCTGAAAAAATACGGCAATAAACGAAAACTGACAATTTACCAGTTCAAAAAAATCCTGATCAAGTTTCATAAATTTGATCTTGGAATGTTTGGACTTGACTTGAACACCTTGAAAATAATTCGTTTTTCACTCTATCTTCCATGTTTTTGATGTAGAAACTTGTTCCGATGATTTCTCAGAAAATCTACGACTTTTTTTCTCACAATCAAGGTATCCCTTGTTCTATGAAATATACGAATTCAATATTTTTTGAGCTCAAGGAGCTCAAGAACCACTTCTCTTTTACCACGTGTTTGTTTTTCAATGCTCATCTAATTTTAATTTTGGAGAATTTGAAGGTTCTCTGATCCGTTCCTCATTGCTGTGCTTGCCATCTTCTGCTCATTCTTTGAGTTTATCGAAAAGTTGCAAGTTGGTAAAAAGTTCTCAGAAGTTCTGCACGTAGGCAGGTGTGATGTTCGTTACTATTTCCGAAGACAGAAAGCATGAACACAAAGAACATTCGAGCAACAGAACCAAGTTTTCCCACAGTTTTAGGAGAAAATAACTACATAGATGATGGATATGCACGAGGTGCACATGGTTGGATGACAAATGAATGTTTTTGATTTCGGTTGTTTCCGAATTTGGTAGAACCAGAGCACACTCTGTTTACTCAATATTCCGAATTACACCTCTTCAAAACTTCTAGACTAGACATTCATACTATAAAATCGGAGACAGAATACAGGGCGGCGCATAATAAACCATACCAAAGTTTGTACTTCCATAACATTTGAGTAAATCGTTGGACCCTGCTCAAATTTGAAGTGCGAAAATTTGAATAATTCACCCATAAACTGGCTAAGTTTCAAGTTATTTGATCAACTATGAGCTAGGCTATCGCTTGTCAAATTTGCTTCATCTCATGAAATATTCCACCGTTCATCTTTGAACCGTCATAACAATACCTAGACTTGCGGAATCGCTTTAAAAAATTTTAGTAGCTTTGAATCAAACGTAAAGTTATATTTCTACCAATTTTTGTGCTTCCAAGATACTCATGTCTAAAGATTTGCTTATTTTTATCAGTCCGGGTAATTGTGCACCACCCTGCGATTTTCGATTTCGAAGTACATAGGTCGAGTTTTAAAGTCTATCTTTTTACTGTGAGCACATTTCTCATTTGCATGTGATTTAGATAGCACACTTTCTAGTATGATACTACTGTGGTACTCAGATGGTCTGAAAAAACTCCAGCAAGCTCCGCCCAACACGTGTTTTCTTCAGATGTCGTCGTGGTTCGCGATAAACAGAATCGCTTGAAGTATTTAAGTTTTGCAAGAAGTTTACAGATTCTGAATCCTATGTAGCTATATTTTTTCACTATACTTTTATTTGAACCGGTTGTTCAGTGTCGGTTTTGTTCAACCGAATTTATACTTGCACTTTGTGCTTAATTATCTCGGTGCATGTAAAATATATCAAAAAGTGGCAAACTGATAAAATGTTTGTCGTAATATCAATATCATTTTATCAGTTGACAAAATGTTGATAAATTTCATGGCGACCGAGATAATTGAGCTCAGGGTGGCTTTTATTAAAGAGAAGAACAACTTCATACTTCCACAATGCCCCATAGTGGAATCTCACAGAGCTTTCTATAAATGTCAAACCACAAAAACATTTTCCACTTTTATTTGGGTCAGTTTTAATTAAAGCGTGCCTAACACATGGTGTTGACCCGTGCTTATGTCACCCACCCTAATCAACTCATCCCTCTTCCGTCATTCCGCCAGAATCCAGAGTTAGGCATCATGTTCTTTCAGACAATGTTCCCGGGTAATGAAGAAATACTTCTACGCAGTCGTCTTTATGTCATTTGTGGCATTCTTGTACTTATTCCTAACACTATCTGCCTTGTTGTATTCAATTCTAGCAAGGACTTCCGACAACGATTCGTCTTTTTTACTCTATTATCTGTTTCGGATATGGTAAGCTTGGAGAATCATTCAGCGAAATCAGCTAACAATTTCAGATAAATGGAATCTCATTCATAATGTCTGGGGCAGGCCGACTGGATCTCATTCTACACGAAAAGTATTATATCAAAATAAGCAGTTACGAATGTATGACCGAATATTTGTGGCCAGCATTTCTATTATTCGGAGGGCAGTTACCTGCTACGTTTCATTGTCTTTTGACAGTTGAAAGAGTTTTAGCCGTTAATCGAGTCAGTTGGTACAGGAGTTGTTGGACATGGAGACATAGATTGTATCTTTCATCATTAGGAATCTGCAGTTGTGTAGTTAGTTAACTATTTCATTTAGTCTAGAACTTATATTTCTTTCAGTTTCTGAGTTTCATTGCATTTTTTGTTTCCTCCGCCTCTCCAACAATCAATGAAAATCGAATGTGTGCAGTGATGGATTCTACCGGAATCGTTTATGGAACCATTCATTACTGCTGGATTGCCTGCTCCTACATGATCGCATTTGCGGTTACTCTCAATTTATTTGTAAAATCCCACGGATCCAAGGTAGAGAGTAGTATCAAAAAGACTGAAGAACAAAACTCGAGACAGGAAAAAGTTTTCAGTTTCTGAATCATACGGAAAGACGAAAACAAATGGCAATTCTCATTCTTTCGGGAATCAATGTTTTGATGGTGAGCGTACCGAACTTTGTGCTGGTTGCTGATCAGTGGCATGCTGATGAATTCGACGTACTTCTTGTTGGTCAGTTCCTCATCAGTGCATAATTTCGCACATCAATGAATAAAAGTTGGGGAAAATAAAAATTTTTTGAAGCTGAGCAAGATTCATAAATCACGATTTCTAGTTTGAAGTGTAATCATATTTTATACCTATCGGATGAGTGCATATAATACCGTAAAACCTGTTATAGAAGGGCCGTCCTAACTACCGTATTTTCTCAAATAAAAGCTCACCCAAATCATCCACTTTGAGCTCAATTATCTGGATTTCCCTGTAAGAAGAAGAAGACGTCGTGCTCTTCCCTCAGAAAATCTTGAAAACTTTTTTCTTCGACTCGTTTACATCTTTTCTCACCCTGAAGACACACATATTAAGAAAAAAAAGATGGCAAAACCTAATTATGTGAAATGTATACATTTTTCTTTTTTTTTCTTTTTTTTTTCTTTTTTTTTCTTTTTTTTTCTCTTTTTCTCTTTTCTCTCCAACCTCCTCCTAATTTGAAAAGTTCTGAATCAGATTTTTCCCTA